AATAAAATAATCAAAAAAGATATTACATTCTTTATGTGGGTCTCGGAATGAGTGAGGAATAGAGTTATGATGCTTTAAGTTTAAATTCATCGCATCTAAATGACAAAGCAATATGTTCATCACCGATTTACATTTAGAATAGTTATTTAAATGTGCACTTGGTTTCTCCCTCTTTAAAAAGTATTACACAAAGAAATAAATCACTTTTAAAATCTGTTTAAAATCATTTACACTTACATGAAGACTACAGTCATCCATAGTGAAACTGAATGTGCACTAATGTGCTTCAAAACTTAAAAGCTCATTAAAAAACTCTGCTTGCAGATAATATAATATTAATGACGTAAATAGCCACTTAAGTGTACTTCAAATACACTTTCATGAATGTTTCTTAACACACTTTAGTACTTTTTTCTTCTGTAGTGTGCTCTTATTACATTTAAAGTTAATATATAAATGCACTAAATTGCAACTTCTTTATTACAAATGCATAATTACGAATATATGTATATACACAACATACAAGGTTCGATAGAAATGACATTAAAGCATATTTTAGTTTTCCATAAATGCTTGTCAGTACATATGGCATACTTCAAAGAAAATAGAAGTTCAACTAATAGCATTTAATAAAATTTAACAGGTATTCATTTAATTGCAATTAACATTCAGTTACGTGTCCGAATACTTTACATTCAGTTTCCACTTGCAGTACATTCTTTTAAAGTATATTTATAATTATTTTTATAATTATGCAAAAGTGCTTTTGCCTAAAAAAAGCAGTTTTCTTTTAACATGTAGTGACATGTTGAGATCACAAAACCAGACAACCCACTTTATTTTGTCAAATCCAATCGATAACTTAAGCTATTGTGCATCCACACCACTAGATGTCAGTATACGTCTATATACTCAGTGCAAAATAAACAAACAATGACTGAGTGCATCATACATAGAATTATTTACAGCTCACCAGACAGATACAGAGTATGCGTGCATGAGCATTTGTTTACCAGCTCATCTGGTGAATGCAGCAAACCAGGATGTAACAACACCCTTATCTCTTCAGCTCTACTGGCTGGAAACAATTAAAGGAGAACCCTCATTCACATTACAAGATGAGCTAACAACCAAAATATGTGGATACAGAGCAAGGCAAAACAATAACCTTGCAGCATTTGCACAACGAAAAACGCCAAAACTGGCACTGGGATTTTGACGATACTTCAAAACCAAATTTAGACTGGCACTGGGTATTTGACGATACTTCAACACCACCACTGCATCTCCTCTCGGTCAATGACCTGCACTAAGTACAGAAAAAAAATACTGATACTGATACTGATCTCCAAACCTCCCATGCTGCTCAAAGCCATTATACACAGCATCATGTCAGGAGGGACGATGGGTTTTCCTAAAGAGGTATATCAGATCATGGCTGAAGAGGAACGGAGCGGCTCAGAATCTCTAAAACAAATAAATGGTGGAATGAAGGGGATTCAAGATTCACCTAAAGGGTATCAATGCGCACAAGCAAACTGTTACAGATGTGCTTTAACTTAAATGAAAATACAGCACTATCAAAATTCTAATAAAGGTTTCAAAGCAGCGTTAAAATATTTGTTCAAAGTAAAGTAAAAGAAAAAAGTTAATTTGAGTGGTTCTTTATAATAACCATAATTTTTAAAAAGAGTTTTAAAGTAACTATCAAAATAAATAAATCAATACATATAATAATTTATTTAAAAATAAATTATTTTAAAATCATCTAAACATTTTTATGTATTTTTAATAGAAAAATGTAGATGGTGCAGGGAATTATAGAAGAAGACGAAGAATTATTAATAGTAATGAAGCTTAAAAATTACATTTTTATGTATTTTTTTAAAATAAGATTTTAGATGGTGCACAGAATTAGGCTTATAAAATAACAATAATAAAAAAATAAAAAAATATAATAATTTTTAAACATTTTTATATATTTTTTAAATATAACAAATTTAGATGATGCAGGGAATTATATAATATGAAGAAGAAACTTTTC